AATACTTTTTTAATAAAAAAAAAAAAAAAAAAAAAAAATAAGCTATGCATACTTAAAAGGGAAAATAGTTTTTTTTTTTTTAATATTATATATATGATAAGGAAAACATTTATACTCTAATTTTAAGGTAATTTAGAAAATATAAAATGTACAATTTAATAAATTTATCAATTTTTATTTTTTAAAATACTTGAATATTATTGTTTATATATACATATATTCATATTATTATACTTCTTTATATAAAATATAATTAAGGATATTATTAGTTTATGACCTTTATGAAATATTTTTGAGAATTGATAAATTCAAATTAATAATATAAAGTATTATTTTAATTATTTAATATAATTATATTATAAAAAATTAAAAAAGAATTCAAATATTTATTCTCACAAGTAGAAGATTAAGAATATGAAAATATAGAATAAATGTTTCAAAGAAATAAAAGAGAATACATTTTTTTTTTTTTTTTTTTATGTAACTTGAGGATTATAAAATGAATTATTTTTTATAAGACTTTAAGATGAGAATAAAATATTTCTTCTTTATAAATTTAAAGGTTAATTATTATTTTAAAAGAGAAAAGAAAAAGTAGATAAGTAAAATATATGAAATGTATGAATAATATAAAACGAAGGAATAATAATAAATTATAAAAATTATTATTTTAAAATCATGAGGTATTAAAATTAAAAAAATTATGAGAATTAATAATATATTTTATATTATTTGAATATATATGAAAAGAATTTTTTTTTTTTAAAATTTTAATTCTATATTAGCATATTCAAGTGCTTCTAATGCCCATTGTGGTAAATTTTGCTTTAATTCGTTTATCATTTTTTCTTTTTTCAAATTTTCATCTATTTGATAAGAAGAATCTTGATTAATTTGACTAGTTTGATTTAAATTTAATTTATTATCCAAATTATTTATTAATTTTGTTTTGTTTAAATTATCTGAATTCAATGAAGTAGTATTAGGTATTTGAGGAAAATTATTTCTATTTTCCTCGTTTTCTATAAAATCAGAAGAGAATACATTTGTTTTATTTAGATAATTATTCATGATATTTTCAGTATTATAATAAGAATTTTTTGAATTATCTAATATGTTTAAATATCGTTTTTCTTTTTTATTTTCTTCATAATTTATTTCATTTAAATTTTCAGTATCTTCATTTATATTATTGTCAGGGATTTTATAATTTCCATTTTTATATCCAATCACGAAATTATTATATAAAAAGGTGGTTACGAATTGATCTAATTTATTTGAAAAAATAGCAACTCTTAATAAATAACAAATATGCAAAGTAAAATAAATATTATGAATTGTTAATAAAATGTTAGTTATTGGATTTTTCTTTGATATAAGTAGATGTAAAGAGGACTTTGTATATTTTGTACAAACATAACAATTACAATTTTTTTCTAGTGGACTAAAATCAAATTTATATTTTGATTGTTTTAATTTTATCGTTCCATCATAACTTAGAGCTGTGTTAAAACGAGCTGTTCTTGATGGATAGACACAGTCATACATATCGTATCCAAACAAAGAACATAAAACAATATCTACTAAATATCCTATTCCCATTATATATCTACATTTATTAATTGGTAAGTAATTATACTTTTTATTTTTTTCATTTGAGCAATGATGAATAATTTTAATAAAACTTTTTTTTTTTTCTCCTCCACATAATCCACCAACTGCATATCCATTTAATTTTTGTCTTAAAATATATTCCATTGATTTATTTCTTAAATGAATATGTAATCCTCCTTGTATTATCGCAAATAAACTTTGTTCTTCTTTACATTGATGGCTTTTTATACATCTTTTTAACCATCTGTTTGTTCTATCGGTAGAATCTTCTATTTTTTTTATATCTTTTTCAGTTGCAGGTCTTACATCATCTAAAGCCATTATGATATCACTACCAATTAAATTTTGTAGTTTTATAGAAATTTCTGGTGATAATAATATATATTCACCTATATCTAAATATTTATTATTTATATTATTCTTATTCTTTTCTATAACTTCTATATTTTTGACATTTATAGAATTTATATCAGAAAAATTTACCATGTTTGGTAAACAAAAATTAATATTTTTTTTAATAATAGAACTATCATATATATTATTAAATAAAATTCCTTCTTCTAGTATTTTAATTCGCTTACTTAATGAAACCATTTGAAAACCACCGGAGTCCGTTAGCATGGAATTTGGGAACCTTATAAAGTTATTTATATTTTTGTTATTTTCAAAAATAGATATATCATATATATTTGATAAATGATATGTATTGCTTAATATAATATATTTACATAAACTTTTTACTTCTTCTTCTACTAGTCCTTTAATACAACCTTTTGTACCAACTGGCATAAACAAAGGAGAGATTATTATAGTGTTTTTTTTATCATTTTCATCTACATATTTTTTTTTTATTATAATAAGATTAATTCTAGCTCTTTTGCTATTTTTTATATTTATTAACTTTAAATTCTTTTTATATTCTTTATTTTTTTTTTGCTTTTTTTCAACTATTTTTTCCTTTTTTTCTTCCTCACTTGAGCTACTCAAATAATTAGAAAGATATTTATTTTTTTCTTCTCTTAATTTATTAATAACATTATTCACTTCTTTTATATCAATATTAGAAAAATTATTTTCACAAAAATTAACAAAAGTATCATATTTCTTATAATCTTCTTCTAATAAAAAATCAAATAAAAGTGGTTCTTCATAAGTTGAATCTTTACATATATAATTTTCATTTTTGTTTCTCCTTTTTTTTTTTTTTATTCCATTTTCTCCTATATCCTCTAAACTTTTTTTTTTTTTTTTGTTCTTAGTTGATTCTTCATTTTTATTAATAGATTCTATTATCATCGTTAAAAAAAAAAAAAAAGTTGATATATATATTTATGGAAATATATATATATATATTAAAAGCATAAATTACCTTTTTGTTTTAAAAATAAAAATATACATTTAATAATAATTAGATGGATATGTTTTTTTATAAACTTTAATTGATATAATTAAGTATATATAAAAACATTTAATGAAAAAAAATATTTTCAAAATTTAATAAAAAAAAATATTTTCAAAATTTAATAAAAAAAAATAATTTCAAAATTTAAAAAAAAAAATAATTTCAAAACTTCTATAATATTTTTAATGATTTATATATGAAAATCAATAAAAAATATAACTTTTAAAAAAAAAACAAACATTCATCTTTATAATAATTTTTACATTTTAAATGGAAGTCGAATAAAATATATATATATATGTATAAACTCTAGTATTAGGTTATGCTATTAAAGTATAATTAAAAATTTAAAAAAGGAAATAATAAAAATTAATTTTTCTCATAATTTAGAAAAGAAGAAAATTTATTAATATTAGTATATGATTTATAAATATGTAAAAAAAAAAAAAAAAAAAAAAATAAATATTTTAACTATATGATAAAAATAGAAATATAAAAAGAATTTAATAATACTTAAAATATAAAAATTTTTAATTATTTTATAAATACTAAAAAAAAAAAAAAAAGAAAAAAAAAAAAAAACCATACATACATATGTATGTTAATGTATTAATTTTTAATAACAAATCATGTACAGAAATATTAGTAAACAGAATAACGCAAATATAACATTATCTATAATTTTCAAATTAATAGTTTAAAAAAATGTATCTTGAATTCATAATTATAAAAAGTTTCATAATTATATATGTACAAACCGTATTTATTTTTTTTTTTTAATTTTTATTATTTATTTTATTTTTTATTTTTTTTTTTTTTTTTGTTCTATTCTTTTGTATAATGTCCTTAAATTTTTTTTGAATATATATGTTTCAATGATGCTAAAAATATTTTAATGTTTTGTGTATTTATTTGTATTATATACATTATCGTTTGAAAATTAATAAAATTTTATTTCTATTATTATAATTTATCTAAATATATATCTTGTAACTCCATAAAGTTTTCAAATTCTTCTTGTGACATATCTTGTTGTAGTTTTTGTGCATCTAAAAAAAAAAAAATAAAAATAAGAGAGTAAAATGTGTGATAAAAGTATTTATTTTGTTTTTAAATTTTTTAGTATAAAATTATACCAATAAGTGTAAATTTTTTATTAAATTTCTGAATAAAAAAGAGAGGAAACTCTGGTTCTTTTGTTTGTTGCTCGTTTGTTATATTTTTAGCATTTTGATTAGATTTTTCTATAGATTCATTATTTTCAGATGTATCATTATTTTTATTCTTATTAATTATGTTTTCTTCTTTTGTATCATTTATTGTGTTTGATATTTTTATTTTATCATCATTTAAATTTTTTCTTATAATATTTTTAGTTTTTACGTTCATACATATTTTTATTTTTTTATTTTTTCTTATAACACTACTACAGGTATCTGTGTAAATTTCTTCTTTTTTTCTTTTCCCATTTTCAATACTTTCATTAAGATGTACTACAAAAAAAAAAAAAAAAAAAAAAAAAAATATACACATATGTACGAACAACTAAAAAAAAAATATATATAAAAATAGTAAAAATCTTTGAAAAAATATCAAATTAAATATATATATATATATATATATATATATATATATATATATATAT